AAAGCTTTTTTCTATGATCACAAATGTGTGCCGATGACCTCGCAGAAACTCGATGAATCGCTGTCACGTGCGCGACATTCGCACCAGGACTTGATTAGTTTAAAATATAACTGCATGAAATGAATGTGTGCAATCTGCTGCTCTAGTAGCTGAAACAATTCTGCTGCTTTCTGCGTACCTCCGCAACGCCGATCTTACAGATGGTAATAAGGAGGTTTGTACCCTCAATGAGTACCATACTGTACCCCACGGCGCCGAACTGCACCCAAAAATATTATACAACATGAAAATCTCTTACTTGGTTTCGTCCTAGCCGTGACATAATCGGTTATGTCCAGATACGCTTCATCAAGTGAACCCATTGATAGATCCTCGTCATATTCGGCGAAAATCGCTTCGAAGATCTGAATGGAGCGATTTGCTTAGCTGTCACCTATTTCAAACTGTGAACCGGTAAAGAAAACATGAAGAATAAAGCAGTATTAAATAAGAAAACTTGGGTAATGGTGGAAGTGGTAGCAAGGAAATTTTGTAGAAGGGGGACTGCTGAGTTACACAAGATTCCAGAAACACAGCACACGCCTGATCCACCCTCATATGTAGAGCTCAAGTCAAAGGCATGGCGCGCTCCAACCACCTGGACCAACCTCGGCTTCCCCGGAGACCAAACTCATTTGCTATCGCAGAAGTTTGACAAGGATAAGAATGAGGTTCTAGTCTACATTTTCTGGAAGTTCTGAGGAAAGAGTGGAATTCAAGAACGAGAGACTCCCTGGGAAACTCGGCATTACCCCTTGATGGAGCGGACTTTATCACCTGAGGTGAAAGCGGGGTGCCGGTCAGGAGTTCTGAGATAACGACACATAGGGACTGCTCGCAAAGCTTCCCCACCTTGTTTACTGGGTCTGATGTAACACATTGCGACAAATCAATTCAGTTCATGGTGTGAGTGCTGCGCGCGCGAGAGGAAGACCACGATGATAATTCCGCTGAAGTTCGGATCTCCTGACCCACGCCCGC